TTCTTTCACAAAGTTTTACACAAGACGAAATTCTGTGTGAATCAATTCATTTTAGTTTACCATCTTATTTTTCTGATCAATTTTATAAAAATTCATCTTTATGTCATTGTAAATTATCCTCAAGTTCAAATCAAGATGAATCAATTGATTTGAATTTCTATAATGATGAAAATATTCAAAAATATATTGAAAAATATCTTCAAATCAATACTCAACAAAGTATTTTCTTTTTATTTCAAAAGAATTTCTTTTAATTTTCTATTTATTTAGATGAAGATATATTATTCGTCGATAATATTAATGAGTAAGTTCCATTTGAAAGATTGATGCAAAGAAATCAATTGAATATTTAGAGAAGATTTCTTAATGGATACTTCGAATACATCAATGACATCTACACAAATTCATAATCAAACTGATTTTAATGAATTATTTTCATTAGAAGATTCTTTGAATGATATTTGTATGAATAATAATCAATCTGTATCTTTAACTTCTGAACAAATATTAAGTATTCTTGATATACCATCATCATCATCATCATTATCATCTAATGATCAATCAATAAATAAACAAACTTATTCAAAAACTAATAAATTATCAGTAAGTTTATTTAATTTAATTCTTTTTTTTATATTTAAAATATTCTTAATAAATAGAGAATAACAAATCATAATGAATTTATAAAAAAAAAAGCAACTAATAATCAATATGAAGTTGATCTAAAGAAAATCTTATATTTATCAAATTTAAATAAACAAATAACAAAAAATCATCTTAAAAATTATTTTATTGGTTCAACAAAAATTATTTTCAAACAAAGTCAATTACCACCACATCTTAATTATGCATTTATATTTCATCATACAAATCTTCAAGCTGAATATAATAGAAAACGAGCAATTAGTTCTTCACGTTTTGGATCAAATTGTCAAATAGAATTTGTTAAAAATCTCGATGAACTTTCAAATAAAAATGAATTGAATGAAAAATGGAATATTGCTATTCAGCAAATACCTGAAAATGTTACTGAAAATGATTTAATAAAATTATTTAATTGTCAAAAAATTAAATATATTCCATCAAGAATTGTTCCAAAATAAAATACAAATCAGAAAATTTTATTTGGGTAATATTTATATTTGAATATTTCAATTATTTTCTTTTCTTTATGATTTAGATATGCATTTTTATCTTTTACAAATACTGAACAAGTTGATCAAGTTATGAACAATTCGGATAAATATCAAATAAATAATCAACCATTGATCTTATCTTACTATAGAAACATAGAAAAATAACAAACTATCTTTTTTAGTCTTTTTCTATGTTGTGTTATTGCAGTGAATTCTTATAAATATTTTTTAAAAAAATAAATTAGAAGAATCTCGAATTTTAGTAAAGAATGTTCGAAATAATTCAAAAGAGAGATATTGACTTACCATTATGTTGTATAATCTACTTAAATGCATTGGTGAATATAAGAGCTGTGTATTAGAGATGATACGA